GAGTCCATGTTCAGTTGTCCATTTCCGGATGTTTTATCTCCCTGGTATTCTAGTAGCTCAAGATAAGGATATATAAGAGTATTGTTCTTTATCTTTATCTTTATCTTGTTCTTTCGGGTGGGGGTGGATAAGTCTCCCTAGAATTTTATTACCATTGTTTTTACTATTATTGCTATTACTTTTATTACTGGCAGCTATTGTTGTTTTACACTCTCTCTCTCTCTCTCTCTCTCTCTCTCTCTCTCTCTCTCTCTCTCTCTCTCTCTCTCTCTCTCTCTCTCTCTCTCTCTCTCTCTCTCTCCCTCCCTCTCTCCCTCCCTCTCTCCCTCCCTCCCTCCCTCCCTCCCTCTCTCCTCCCTCTCTCTCTCTCTCTCTCTCTCTCTCTCTCTCTCTCTCTCTCTCTCTCTCTCTCTCTCTCTCTCTCTCTCTCTCTCTCTCTCACTCACTTACTTACTTACTTACTCACTTACTCACTTACTCACTTACTCACTCACTCCCTCCCTCCCTCCCTCCCTCCCTCCCTCCCTCCCTCCCTCTCCCCCCCATTATATTTATTGATTAACCTTTACAGTATGTAGGCACTAAGCTAGGGCAAATTGAAAATTATATTCTTGTAGTGTACAAAAAGTTGTAGTTGTTGGTGTAAGAAATAATCTGCAGACACAAACGAGTGCATCCATACTGGAAAGAATTACCCATTTATTACTGAACTCATTATTAGTAGTATCATAATCATGTCATCATCATTATTGCTCTTATTATCACAGTCATTATTATTATTACTATTATTACCTTGGTCATCATTATCATTATTGTTGTTGTAGTTAATTTCATTATTATTATTGTTATTTTTATTATTTTTTATTTATTTATTATTTCTTTATTTCTTTATTATTTATTTATTTATTTATTATTTATCTATTTATTATTTATTATTATTTATTTATTTATTTATTTATTTATTTATTTATTTATTTTTAAGAACAACTAAGTTTTATGAAATTATAAGTACATAGTTGAAAGAAGTATTCTTCTTAAACAATCTGTTATCTGTGTTTGTTTAGAAATATAGATGATCTTTGCATCTTTTTAGTTTGTTTGTGGCCAGCTGAAATCTGAATCATGTTTCTTTTGACTTGGTCCAAGATTTTCACAGCATACTGGTTTAGAAGCTTGTCAGTCACATCTTCAGTCCGTTTTATGTGTATTTATCAAAGAAGCATAACATAGAAATATTATTATTTAATTAATTTATTTATTTATTTTATTTTATTTATTTATTTGTTTTATTTATTTTATTTATTTATTTATTTTATTTTATTTATTTATTTATTTTATTTTATTCATTTATTTTTTATTTATTTATATATTTTTTTTTCATTATTTTTATTGATTCATTTATTTATTGCTTTTCTATCCTTCCCAGATCCACAGTAACGGTCGGATGCAGCTCCACTACGGTGACCTGACAGATTCAACCTGCCTGGTTAAGATTATATCACTAGTCAAACCAGATGAGATTTATAACTTAGGTGCTCAGAGCCACGTTAAGGTAAGTTGTGAAAGCTCTTAGTATGTTAGAGTAGTAGGTCTGGATTATTAAGCAGTAATAAAACAGAATTTTAGGAACTACAAGTGTTAAGTTTCATAGAACCTTTTGGGTAAAGAAAGGAAAAACCTAGTTGAAACTTTTTATTTTTTCATCAAATTAACTTGTGATTAGTAAATTTGTTAACTCTTTCCTACAATATACTATCCTCAAAGAGCACACCACATAATGTTATTTACCAGATCAGATCATTGTTGTTAAAAAAATTTCATACATAAGATTTGAATTTGAATTTTTTGCAAGGCAATAATATTTTTTCTCTCTCCCTTTCCTTCTACAGGTATCCTTTGATCTGGCAGAATACACAGGAAATGTAGATGCCATGGGAACACTTCGTCTCCTCGATGCCATAAGAACTTGCGGCATGGAAAAGAAGGTCAAATTCTACCAGGCCTCAACGTCAGAACTTTACGGAAAGGTCCAGGAAATTCCCCAGAAAGAGACTACCCCCTTTTATCCCAGATCTCCCTATGGTATGCTTTAAAGGGGCTTTGAGATCCACTTGTTAATAGAAATAGTGTTATGACTTCAGTTTTTTGTGCTGTTTGATCTTTTAACGTAACCTCTGTATTAGCAAGTTCATATGTTTTTAATGAAAATTGATTTGTCATTCTTTAATGCTAATGGTCATTGATATGTGTCATGAGATTTAGTTATTAAAGACTAGTAAGTTATCTTGCGAAAGGATTTTTTAAATTGGAGATTCAAAAATATTTACTTAACCATTTTTTAAAAATGAGCCTATATTTTGTAACCTCAGTAAATGCTTGTTTAATTTGTATGCCTTTGATTACTTCGCAGGTGCTGCAAAACTCTATGCTTACTGGATAGTTGTGAACTACCGAGAGGCTTATGGCATGTTTGCCTGTAATGGCATCCTCTTCAACCACGAATCTCCCAGAAGAGGTGAAACATTCGTCACTCGTAAGATCACCCGGTCCGTGGCCAAGATACACTTAGGATTCCTAGACAAGTTTGAGCTCGGAAATATCGACTCGCAGAGAGATTGGGGTCATGCAAAAGACTACGTTGAGGTATGCTTGGTTACTTCAAGTAACTGTTTACACTTGGTTAGATTAGGACCAGAGAAAAAGAGAAATCTGTAAAGAAACAAATTTTACTCCTGATAGTTATATTACAATATTGAAGTTCTTGTATATTCCTTGATAGTGGATTATTTTCTCCAAGTGATTTTGTGAGAATGTACATTAACTTATGAGGAGGCTTCATTGTTAAGGAAATAAACAAATGCTGTTTGGCAAATAAGTACAGACAATACTGTAGCATTTTTTCCATTGTACAGGGAATGTGGAAGATGCTCCAAAAAGAAGAACCCGAGGACTTTGTTCTGGCCACAGGTGAAGTCCATTCCGTCCGAGAGTTTGTTGAGGCTGCGTTCAAAGAGGTAAGAGAGAGAGAGAGAAAGAGGGAGGGAGAGGGAGAGGTCTTGGCAATGATGGCCTTTCATTGATTATGAGTTGTATGGAAACTGCTGTTTATCAAGTATGCATAAGAGATATTTTGTACTCTTCTGTATTTTGTTGTACATTATCAAGCAAAGACTCCAAAGGGATTCATTTTTTATGGAAGCTTTAATTCAGTAACCCTGCCTTACAATTGATCTCCACAACAAAAGAAAACTGAGAAAAGGTGTCTTCTGTTCTCTAAAGATTGGACGTGAGATCTACTGGGAAGGCTCAGGTGTTGATGAAGTTGGAAAGGAAAAAGGATCAGACATTGTGAGAGTGAAGATCAACCCTAAGTATTACCGACCTGCTGAAGTAGTGAGTATTGTGTTCTTTTTTGTCGTTTCTAAGCTTTACACTACCTTGATGAAACTTGTGACTATGGGTAAAGTCTGTGAATAACAAAGGAGACAGGTATAGGATCTGCGTCAGTTTACTTTTACACTAATTGCATTAAGGCTAGTAATATAATGTATTTCTTTGTAACTGACACTTGTACTCAGTTCATAGTCACAGTAAAGAGTGATTGGGTGGGTTCCTCTCAAATGCAAATACTTTCTATGAAAAGTACTTCTATAACAATAAAATGACCTAAACTGATATCACTGTAGATAAGAGAATGAGTAAGAATTAGTGTACGAGAATTAGTCAGCTGTTTTATTAATAAATGTAGAGGTGGATGAGTCATTTCAGAGAAACAGATTATAGCTGAGGTATATCCATAGGTATTTAACCACCTTTCACTGTTGGAAATTAGTTATTCCTGTAAAAAAAAAAACATGCAAAAACCATACAGTCATCTATTTATTAAGTTTAAACCATCCTTACACAGCCCATTCCTTAGTGTAGTAAGCCATTTTCAGTGCAGATGAGATGGGGAGTTTATGTACCTATTTCACAGGAATATTTTTCTGTAATGTCCTATCCTGTTTTTCTAACTAATTTAGCATTTCATAATTACTTTTTATTAACATATTTGATCAAATGGATGAAGAATATTCTTATATTCATAGTTACTTTTTTTGGTTATACAGTGGTAATTATCAGACCACACTGAATAAAATATCGGAAATGAGGTTGCCGAAATCAGCCTGTAAGACACTCCATGATATAGAGTAAAACCATTGAACTTATGAATCTGTAATTTCAGATGTTAATGATCAGCTATTCGTAAATGACTGAAATGTGTATTTGTAGAGTCGTTTATGAACTGTTCCTGATTTCTTTTGTACCTTTCTGTTAGCTTCATAGGCATTTAACACACTTAGCAGGGCTTAAATAGACACAAATAAAACAAGGTACAGTTTATAGCATCAAAGTTCATATATGGAGATAATGAATTTTAGTTTTATCATGAAATGCATTATCCATTTGACTGCTACAGAGACGGATAAATATTTCCATAAGATGAACGTCATTGCAAAAGCATTTTCTGTATATCAATAAAAAGATGAAAACAGTAAAAGAACTTTCCATGGTTATTTGTTAAGGCACGTGTCTGGAATTTATCCAAAGAGATTGCAGTTATGCAATTTATACAGGCAAGCTGGAAATGTTTCAAATGATATTCATGCAATTACTATGTTAATTAGTGATATGACCTCATTACATGGGTCTAATAAGCTCAACATATGTGAACACATTTAATCAGCACTTGAGTTTAGGTGTAAGGTCGCTGCATATTTTAACTTTTTTTTTTCGTGGATTTATTCAGCTATTTAACATACTTACACTAAGCTATCAGTACTTACACCCCTTGCCAGTCCACAATACTCACCATACTCCAGTTAATATTCATATCAATATTATGCATATTTTTGTAATACCGTCCTCATCAACACTACCCACACGCTCTGTACCTATACTCGATATCTGGCTCTTCATAAACCCTCCTATTATATAATGGTACCACACCATACTATTGCATGACACTCGCCACCATACCCAAATCCTCAATACTGCATTTGTATTCACCACATCAGGATTATTCAGACCAACTACAACATTCCACCTGTCAGATCATACCCATAATTACCACCATTACCGCAAACTATGTGAAAGCGATGATGGAGCCTAGACTTCGGATTAAGATGTCTGTGATTCAGTTATGAAGCATAAACAAGGTCTGTATTTTCGTTTAATTTTGTAAATCAATTACTTGCATTACAATTTCGAATGAATTCTGACATGCTATGCAGGGTAATCGTTGATGACTAACTCTTACTCGACGCCGAAACGATGGCTCTAGCGTCGTATTCATATCGTTTGCGGTAATGGTCGTAACGCTGATCAAACCCCATACCCTTTCACTGCATTCTAACCGTATCTCACTCTACTCGGATCGCATCATGACATAACCACGCACATGACAGATTTGTCAGATAAATATGACATTACTGTATGTATTGAAAAGAGAAGCGAACGAAATTGAGGGGACAAAAGTGTGAGGTAACTTTGGAATTCGATGCCTGGCGTGTTAGTCATTTTATTTTCTCTCTCGTAAATATTTTTCTTTGTTCTGTTCTCCTTTCCCTTTTTTTCTTCTTCTTTTCACTCCTTTTCTCGTTTGTTTTTCTCCATTTTTCTTTTATTTTTATTTTTTTTCTTTTTTTTTCTTTTTTTTTTTTTACTCCTCTTCCATTTACCTTGTTTGTTGAGGTACTGTTTCTCCCTTCTCCCCCTCCTCCATCTTTCCATTTTTTCCTGTGTTCTTTATGCCTTTATAGTTCTTTTTCAAGAGAGGAAATCTGAGGAACTCTTTCCCTCTTTACAACCGCCATTTTGTGAGTTTTCGCGCGCTTTCAAGGGTTTTGCAAATACTCGATCGGTTTGCGTTTTTGGCGCGTGTTCTTTGGTTAACCCCCCCTCTCTCCTCTCTCTCTCTCTCTCTCTCTCTCTCTCTCTCTCTCTCTCTCTCTCTCTCTCTCTCTCACTCTCTCTCTCTCTCTCTCTCTCTCTCTCTCTCTCTCTTCACGCTTTCTCTTCATTTCTTATTCTTTCCTAATTATTATTTTATATTATTCGTGTTTTATTTTCTCTCTTTGTTTGATTCTCTCTCTTTCCTTCGGGCTTAGTTGTAGTTTATCCTTTTAACTTGTGTGTCCTGTGTTCTATTTGTATATGCTTGTTTATTTTTCTCTCTCTATAACCAGTCTGTCTTTTTCTGACATTGGTCTAATGTTTACAAGAGAAATTAGGAAACTTCTGTAGTTCCACACGCAGTTATAGCTCTCTCTCTCTCTCTCTCTCTCTCTCTCTCTCTCTCTCTCTCTCTCTCTCTCTCTCTCTCTCTCTCTCTCTCTCCTCCCCCCCTCCTTCCCTCCCTCCCTCCCTCCCTCCCTCCTTCCTTCCCATCCTCTGATTCTCTCCCTCCGTTTAACCCTTGACCTCTCGTGTATGATTTTTTTCTCCTCCAATTTTTCTACAATCATTATCTTTATTCAATTTCTCTCTCTCTTTTTCACTAAAGGACTTCCTGCAAGGAGACGCAACGAAGGCCAGGGAGAAGCTCGGCTGGAAAACATCCTACGATTTCCCGGTGAGTAGTGGCAGCTATTTTATTTTTTATTTTTTATTTATTTATTTTTTTATGACGTCATGAGAAGATTTTTTCCCTCCTTCTCCTCCTTGGTGGGATAATTGTCGATAACTTCTTTTAATGGTGCGATATTGTTTTGTTTTTCTCTAGAAAGTGCATCGATTTTATTTGTGTTTGTTGATATTTTCTGTTCTGTTCAGCAAGTTGCAAACCTCTGTTTTATCCGTATTCAGAATCATATTTGTGAACCTAGTATTATGTATATTTTTTTAACCTTCAGTCATTTGTTATTCTAAATATCATTCTTATTTTTCTTATTTCACGCCCTTTTCCCCCCCCTGCCAACAGTCCTCTCATTCTCTCTCTCTCTCTCTCTCTCTCTCTCTCTCTCTCTCTCTCTCTCTCTCTCTCTCTCTCTCTCTCTCATTCTCTCTCTCATTCTCTCTCTCATTCTCTTAATTTCTCTGCTAATATTTTCACCTTTTTAATTCCAGGCTCTTGTGAAAGACATGGTCGAAGCAGACATCGAACTCATGAGGAAGGACCCAGGTGCATAGTGTGTTGTGATTCAGCGGTGTTCGTGTACTACGGTGCTTGCAAGAGGGCGGCGCGGTTGTTAACGTTGGAAGGAAGGAAGGAAGGGGAAAAAAGAAGAAAGGAAGAAAGAAAAGAAAGAAAAAAAAACGAAGAAAAATTGAAATGAAATGTGCTGTGTTTTGGCGTCTTGTTCTCAATCTCCGAAATGTGATACTAGTTGTGGGGGGTGGGTGGGAGGGGCGATTCCACACTTTTTGATTCATTTGTATTTTCCGCCCTTTTTTTTAATTTGCTGTAGTTTTTTTTTATATAGTTATTTGATTCTCTCACTTATTTTGTAAGACGCTTGT